GAGGCAAAAGTTAAACTGTTAACTATTTTATTTAATATAGTGATAAAATGTAGTCAAAGAAATTGAATCATTTCAGCATATTTTTGACATTAAACTTGAACTTCCTGATAGACTAAAGATCTATTATTTTCTTATCAATAAGGCATATAAATCAACTAGTCAAGAGATTTTTTTTAAAAAGTTTTTACATAGACTATTCTAAAATGGTGGTTAGCATAGGAGACAGCATCTTCCATAATGCTTTTACAGCTCATGCAAAAGTCATTCTAAATGGCTGTTTGTTTTAAGAACTTAGAATCAACCACTTGTACTCAATATTGTAGTGGAAGTCCTAGTCAGTTCAATTAGACAATAAAAAATAAAGGCAATAAAATATAAATAAAGAAAATTAGACAATAAAAAATAAATAAAGACATTTAGATTGGAAAGAAGGAAGCAAAACTATCTTTAATCACAGATGACATGATGTCCTATATAGAAAATCCTAAGAAAAAAACAAAAATAACATTAGGGCTAATAAATGAGTATGACAAGGTTATAGAATACAAGGTCAATAAAAAATCAACCATTTCTATTCACTAATAATGAATAATCTAAAATAAAATTAATAGAAAAATTCCATTTATAATAGAACCAAAAATAAATAAAATATTTAGATTAAATTTAATAGAGAGGTCAAGATGTATACACTGAAAATTTCAAGCCATTAATGCAAGAATATAAAGAAAAAATAAACAGAACATCATATGTTTCTAGATTGGAAATCTTCAAATTCTTAATGTGGCAATAATCCTCATATTCATAGAATTGAACACAATCTCTACCAAAATATCAGCTGCCATTTTTTTCATTGGTTGTTCAAAACCTTACAAAGCTCTTGACATATCACATTTCATACATTAGATTCAAGTGGGTTATGAACTCCCATTTTTACCCCATATAAATTGGCAAGCTGATCTTAAAATGCATTAGAAAACATAAGCAAACCAAAAAGAGGAGGGATAAAAACTTTACACTACCTGTATCATAATTACCTAGAGTTTTTGTTTTAAATATTTAAATTTCTGGGCATCACCCTAAATTTCAGAATCACACTTTTAGGTGTTATGTTCAAGTATTTTTAAAATCTTCTAGTTGAGAATCATGTATAATCATAAGAAAGAGTAGAAGTTATTAGGGCTTCCAAGATTTTCAGTAGTATTAACTAGGAGATAGATTTTGGAAAAAACTAAAGAACATAAGCCATTGGTGATACATAGTAGAAAAGCATCAAGCCTTCTGGAATAAGTTACTGAAACAAATTTCCAGATATCAAAAAATTAAATTTGATATACAAAATATTAAATACCAGCTGCATAAATTTTGGAAACATTCCAAATGATAAAAACTTAGGTTGAGCTGTTTACTATACCAGTGATTAGTCACAAAACCAATTATCTCGAGTTCATGACAATAAAGTGAAATCATCAGAATAACAGATAATGCTTACTTTCCTGTTTACTGTGTTCTCTCTTCATCTAAGCTATGGTAAGGAGTGCAAATCACAAATCATCCCCTTCCCATTTGACAAGATAAAAAAGCCCAGAAAGATAAAGTGAATAGGTACAGATGACAGCATGAGAATATGGTATTTCAGATTCCTAATCCATGGTGATTTTCATGCAACTTACTTGTTTCTCTTTAAAGGTCTGTAACATAGGCAAAATATGCCGTATACATCAAATCTATAGTCATTTAAATTTATTTCCAAGTTTTAATTCTTATCTAGAACTAGTATATTAGCAACAATGCCTCTGAATGAATATATTTTTTTTTTTTTTTTTTTTTTTTTTTTTTTTTTTTTTAAAGAGAGAGGGAGAGAGGGGAGAGAGAGAGAATTTTTAATATTTATTTTTTAGTTCTCGGCGGACACAACATCTTTGTTGGTATGTGGTGCTGAGGATCGAACCCGGGCCGCACGCATGCCAGGCGAGCGCGCTACCGCTTGAGCCACATCCCCAGCCCATGAATATTTAATTAACATTTATTCTGCTTGCCTAGATAATTAAATGGTTTACGTCTCTTTTGAAAAAATAGTTCTTCATGAAAATTTGAACAGATGCCATTTTTTTCCTTCAAAAGTTTCCCTATCTCAGAGTATATTCTTTAAAAAGAGAAATGTACAGGCATGTCTACACACAACATCTATAGACATGCCTGAGAACTAAAAGTTTATGAGAGTTTCTTGATCTTTAAAATTTTTCTTTTGTCTTATGTGCACAGAATACAATTTGAAGAAAAGGATAGAGTTTACTTGGAACATGAAGTGACAGACATAATTGGTTTTGACAAAACTAAACTTTTCAATATTTGGTTTTCTTTCTTTCTTTCAGATTACTTAAGGTCACTTCTTTATGTACCAAATTATTTCATCAAATATTCTTGTGAATTTGTTCAGGAATTTTGATGATACTTTTTGGATACAGGTCTGTTCTCAAACAGCCATGAACACATAGCTAAAAACTATTTCATCCTAGGATAAAAAATTTAAATGTTTAATTTCATATGTATCTACAATTATTAATATAGTACCTGAAATTTTCTAAATAAATATTGGATGAATGAATGCTTTTCTCTTTATCTCTCAATTTACCACATTCATATGGTACATAATCAGCAAATGTAAATAAATATAAAATTGAAAACAAATTTAAAAATATATTAGAACATTTTAAATGACAAATATGATTTTAGACCTTGATTCATCTTACTATAAACAATATAATCATGAAATGAAATCTAATTACTGTAAAGAAAATATCAATTATAATGAATTGTGTTTATAATACTATTGTGCTGTAAATACTCTGGGATCAGATTTTTTTTCTTTATAAAACATGGATTCCAAGTGAAATATTCATGGCATATTACAGAATCAGATTATTTCCAGTAATGTTATATAAGTACATAAGTTGCTTTTTGTGTTTAAACAACCTGTGATTATTTGAGTACCAAAGCATAATGTTACTAGGAACACTCAGATATATTTTCCTTAGAATAAAGAATTTTAGTTTTATCCTAAGAAATGAAAACAAATTTTCAAGGTCCTATGCTGTAATGGTGAATGAGATCAATATTTTCTTAAAAACAATTTTAGTCTATATTTCCTGTCATCTTATGGAACATATGTTCCCTAGAGCCTGGTTCCCTACAGTTTATAATTCCAGAAGTATACTTAAGTTACTTAAGTACAATGCCTTGGTGAATCACATGCTAGGAACTACCATCTTTTCCTTTCCCTTATAAAACAATATGCTCTTATCCTGAAGAAAAAATATTAAAAACCTGAAAATTTAAGATTTTAATCTTCTCTAAACCTCTGCCCACCAAGCCAAGTATGCCAGTGTTGAATTTTGTTTGGCTCCTGAAAAGCATCAATGTGCTTGTGTGTACTCATCTATTAGAAATCTTGGAAAGTTTTTCTCAAGTGAATTAGTGATGAAATGATTCTATGCCCAACAAATCCGAAAAATAAGCCAATATAAAAATCATATTAATGATGGTGGAATGAGTTATAAATCATTACCCTAAGTACATGTATGAAGACACGAATGGTGTGAAAATACTTTGTGTACAGTGACTTGAAAAATTGTGCTCTACAAGTATAATATGAAATGAATTGCATTCTGCCATCATGTATAACAAATTAGAATAAATAAATAATTAAAAACATTATATATATAAAAAGACAGACTTAAAATTACTAGTTTAGACTTGAATCACAAAGTATGCCTTACTTAAGATTCAGTTTTATGTTTAATACCTGTTATACAGAAATTTTCATAGAGTATAGATATGTCTATGATAAAAAGGGAAGTACTGACTAAACCTCTAAATTATATACCAAATGGGTAAATGTTTGCCACAACTGTCTTTCTCATTAACATTGAGAAGAGTACAAATTGATATTAGGTTTAGATATAAGAATGAAAATTTTGGCTTATAAAAAGGGTGTGCTTATCAAGCAGACTTGTATAACACAAAATCAAATTATGGACTGTTAGAAAACACTGTTCCTTAAAACTGTACATGATTGGCACTTTTCAGTTTCAGATAAAAGTAATTATCTCATTTGCTCAAGCAGAAGGATGACGTCTTAGTGCATATTTTTGTTGATAAAGCAGTGTGCAGTACAAATCATAGAGACAGCTTCACAGGTACTCTGTGGCTGTGTTATGAAAATAACAATGTAGTTGTTGTGATGCCTTACTGCTAGTGTTTTCTTCCTGCCTTTCTTCCTGTTCAAAGTTCCCTCTCCAGCACTTTCTCTAAGTGGTTGAATTCCAAGAAGGGCATAATCCAACATGCTTGTCTTCTAATAAACTTTGGAAACTACCCCTTCTTTTCAAAGTATAAGAAAATGCTGCCACTGCTTTGTAATCTTCCTCAGGACTGTACTAGAACCTACCAGAGCACTAAAAAGAGGCAAGGGAAATAGAGACTAAGTAAAGCTTTCATTTGTTATTTTGGCACTGGGTCCAGATGGATTTTTCAGTACATAATATTCCTTATAAAGTAGAATGATTTTTTTCAGACCTTTCCGAATAGAAACCTATCAGAATTTCATTTGAAGGGTTTTGCCTTCTTTTCCCTGAAACAATCTTCTCGAATGGTAAAGCGTTTACAAGTTTCTGTTTCACTTATTTTGGGCTCTATAACTGGGGAAGATATACAGTAATTCATGCTAAAAGACCTAAAGAGAAATTTAAATTTAATTCAGTTAGTTATAAAGAAATTGAAAACTAACTAAATAAGGCTCAGAGCTAGAGTATACAAACTCAAATGTATTTAGCATATCAATCTATTAGATAAAAATTTACCAACATAATAATTTTACTGTATTAGAAAGTAAATAGATGAAACATAACAAAGTGAATATAAATAGTAAAATAACTTTGATGAATAGTAAAAAACACTACATTACTAATGAGAAATGTCTATGAAAAATAAGCATATTTTACCTGGTATCATCTTGTGACAATCTCCTTTGCAAATCCTCTTTATTCCACTGTTCTTTTTCTCTCCCTTGCTCAGGTATATCTTGTGTTTTTTCCTCGTCTCCTGATTCTCTGTTTTCCTCCTTATTACAGGTTTTTGTAATCTCTTTCCCTTTCCCATTCTCATTAATTCTTTCTTCCTTTACCACTTCCTCCTCATGAGCTATCTCTTCTTGCTTATCCCCTTCTTTCCCTCCCTCTTCTATTCCCTTTGGCCTTTCGAAAGCAACACAAATGGAAGGCATGCAAATAAACACAAGAAAAGAAAAAAGAAAAGAAGGTCAAGAAAAAACACGCACAAAATTAAACTAAAAGGCAATGAAAACTATAAAAACATAAATATAAATTAGATCTTTATTAAATGTTGTCATACACTGGAGAAGCACTGAGTAAGCAATGCTTAATTGTAATTGTCTTTAACTCATACTTTCCTTTCACAAAGTTACATGGGAATAGATAAAGGCTATGGTCTCTCCATTACAGAGTTTAAAAAGAGAATTCAGCTCAATTATACATAAAATCTACAGGACAAGTGAAAAAATCAAATTTTAACAACTTATATACTACATTTATAAATTTTCTGGAGTAGACAAGAAATTTTTCCATGTATTTATAAAAATTTCAGGGGAATGTGTAGACGACTTTCTAACAGATTAATATTCTTGTTTTCTGAATCACTGAAATGTATTCAGCTAGGGGGAAAAAGCCTCCAAAATGTTATTTATCATATTCTTTAGGACATTAAAAAAATACATTTCTTCACTTTAGCCATTGCTTTAGTTTTAGTCAAGGTATAATAACCATTTAGTTTTTAAATTGAAAACATAAAATAATGAAAATATTCCATAAAAATGAACTAATATCTAGTGCGTAAAAATTGTTATCAGTTCCATAAATTGGTTTCTATAAAAGATGCCTGAAATAGAAAGTAATCTATACAGAAGTATCTATTGCTGTATTGATGAATATTAACATTTAAAAGAAATAAAAGATTCTATGCTTATCTCAAGAAAAAATAAAGACCTAAAACATTTTAGAAAAGTTCACTGCTAATGTCCCTTCACTCACCTGATTTTCTTGTTTCCTCTTGGTCGTTCTGATTGGACAGACATGTAGCTTGTGCTGCTGAAACGAGAAGCACTACTAGTCCTTGAAACCGCAGATATATCACTTACATCACTGTCCGAAGATTTAGTGGAAATATTATCTGCCCCTCTATGAGGATCCCATCCTGATCGATACTGTTAACACAGATTGACAAATACGCAGAAGTTGTCAGTATTACCACACAAAGCAATTATTACCTTTCTCCTATTTCAGCACTTTAATTGTCCTCAGAGGATACTGCAATATCCCACTCAGTTGCATATAAAACCAAAGTGAATGGTAATTATCCTAAAAGAAAAATTCAATTTACATGAAATCCTTGTTTTTAGCCAGTAATTAGAGCATTTTCACCACACCCCAATGAAGGCCATTGAAATAGCTTCAAAACAGCAAAGGCCTCAGGGAAGAACATTTAGGTAATATCTGGGAAATAAACATTTAGCTTAATATTACGACCGAGGTACAACTTTTCAATTTCTGAATAAGAATTTGAAAAAAATATGAAAAGTTGTTGTAACTCATAAAAACCAATTCTAGTAGGCATCAGTTTTTCTCTTTAATCCATTTTGCTTCACTGAAAACCTAGAAATAACATAAAATCTAATTATTAAACCACTAAGTGTTTTAGAAAAGCCAAGAGAAAAGAGAAAGTTTAATTCCTTAGAAAGTTGATGGAGTTTTGATGAATCCTAGAAATATTAGAAAAAGTCATTATTATTTACAAAATTCAAACTTCCTGGAATTAAAATAATCAGAGAGTTAACTGGCACAGTTAGGGTGCAAGGGTGTTCTCAGGTGTTCAAATATGCTGGCAAATTGAAAACCAACATGAACGTTTTATGTTAAGGATCTATTCTCATAAAATACAATTAATGTAAAAACTAATGAACAAAACCTTGTTTTATTATTGACATCAAAAGAGCATTTGCAGAAGTCCTCAAGCTAAGATTTTAAAAAGATAAACCTTGGAGCTTGGATAACCTGGATTAAGAAAAACTCTTACTAGCTGAGTAAATTGGAGCAAATTATTTAACCTTTAAAAGCTTTATTATAAAATAATAAGAATAATAATGTCTTCCTTGCATGGTTGTTTTGAAAATTAGAATAAATACATGTGTGATATCTGGAATAATGTAAATAAATGAAATCAGTGTTATTTCTGCATCATTACTACATGGTGGTGCTACTGAATTCTCTCTCTGAATGAATACCAAATTTAACTATTACTAAGTAAAAGTATCCGCTAATAGATTTTTCTTTGTATGTATTTCAAATATAACACTGAAACATCCTTGTCTAGTCAGCTTTTGTAGAATTTTCTAATCATAGATACTGGTAAATTTCACAAAGTCTTGAAAAGATGATTAACTTATATAAACCACTTGCTGTGATTTGAAAAATTTTTACCCAATAAACAATCATCCAATAATAATAGTTCACTACAAGTATTAGATAGATGTAAACATTTTTGCCAAGATAAACAGAATGGTAATAATCCATAATTTAAACATTAGAATAGATTAAAATGGTATGTTTTTTTCCTCAGAACCTCCCAATAATTACTTACTTACTTTTAGTTAATAAGGATCTCTTAAGATCCTTAGTTAAAAGAATCTGTTAAGATCCTTTTCTTAAAATGTAAAATGAAGGGATTATTCCTAAGGCTCCATAATATTTTAGTAGTCAAATCCATTAATCTAGAAACATATATATTTTAATTAGATGATAACTGGTCATTCATAAACTACTTTATCTTTCTACTTTGTTAGATACTCAATTATCAATAAAAATACAATTAAACTATTTAAAAAAATTGTTGCCTTAAAATGTTTCCTTTTCTCAGGAACTATCTGTTTAAACAGAATGATAGTGTTTATTTTAAAAAAATTATTTACCCACAGTAAACTTATTTGTACAAAATTTAGTTCATGATATTCTTTTACAAATAGTCATTTTAAAAATGCCCAAATAGTCATTTAAAAATAGTTTAGCCTTCATGTAGCACAATAAATATGTAATAAATTGTATATTAATATATTTTTCACAAATTTGGTATAAGTAAATTTGATCTCAAGTTGACAAATAAAAGTTTTAAGAAAATTTTCATAGTTATTAAATTGTTCAGTAGATACTGACAGTTCAGTATCTATAATCAAATATCTATTTATAATAAAAATAAATTTTCTCTGAAAATACTTTATAATTGGACAGAAACACAGTTTGGGTATTTCTCATGAACTTTTATTCCTGGGAATATTATTTTTTCTAAAATCATTGAAAAAAGTTCTAACTCTAAGAAGCAGTAAGGGAAATAATGTTGTCAATAAGAGCCAATGCTCTTAGTGAGACTGAATCACTGGTCTAAACCCTAGGCAAGAAAAAAATATTATGCTTATTTTCTTGGTTCAATTGCTTCCATGAGTCACTTTTTCATCTGTTAAGATATGTACAAAACAACAGTACCTTTCTCTTAAGCTTGCTGCAAGGATTAAATATAATAATCCATGCACATAGCATAATCTCTGACACATAATAAGTATTTAAAAATGACAAATGTTGACAATGATGATGATGATGATTAATAGTAGCTGAATACTGACCTATATCAATTCCAGGGATATCTTTAGCTAAAGAAATACTACATAAAGCACCCTAAAACAAATACAGTATTTTCAATCTGTCTAAAACTACAAAAAAAAAAAACCACCATTTCTAAATATGCCCAAGAAATTTGTTTCAGAAATATACTTAGAAAGAAATTTAAAATATTAAATCCAACTTTGCTACTAAATCCTAGTATATCCTTCCTCATTTCAGCCAGGTTACTCTATATTCCATCACTTTATAGGGAATCCCAACTATAGCATAACTTTTTATCAGGAAACATATATAATACTTCTTGACTGACATAAAACATGCCTCACTTTTAAAGTTTGTCTCCACATTATCCAGATATCCAAAGCCATCTAGTGCTTGTGTATCCAATGTTCCTCTGATTGGTTCTCATTTGATTTTTCTGTTTTGTCTTAATTTCTGAATCCTAATTGCTTACTTGCCTCTTTAATTTCAGTAGTTAAGTTCTGACTTTGCTTTTATCTTTTTAGGTCTATCATAACTTTTGGTACTGGTATTATGATTCATAGCAACATATAGGCTAGTTTAATGCTTAAGAATTTGTTTAGTTTCTAAAATAACACAAGCAGGGTATGCATTACATATTTCTTTGGTGGAGAACTCTCAGATAATCCAGCTTATTGAGCAAAAATTTTAGATATTCAAAATTTAAGGAAAGATAAAATTCCTCATGCTAGTTTCATGTCTTTTATATAATCCATGAGATATAACCTCTTGTTATAGGTGTATGTGTATGTGTGCACATGCATGTGAATAGATTTCATGTTTAATTTTTCAAACCCTCTATTAGAATACATTCTTCTGAAGGCAAGGACAATATCTTCATCTTTGTATCTATCCTATAACCTAAAAGTCGAATATTTAATTTAACTTAATCTAATCTTAGAGGCTTGGTCTTCTTAGCAGTACTATAAGGATATCTTCTACCTTAAGATTCTTTAAATATATATATTCAAAATAACCAATAGTCTGCTTAGCAAATAACAGATGTTTATTTCCAGTTCATAAAGCACAAGGTCATTAAATTAAGAGGCATTGAATGGAACAGTTCATATGAAGAAGGAACAGAAATTAGCTAAAAGCTCTAGTTTGATGATTTTCTGCTATCTACTCAAGGTTTGCACCAAATGCACACCTTGGTTTACTTGTAAGTAACAAAGAGTGTTTGTCACTGGAATATAATATAGGCTGCCACTAAAAAAAAAGATATGTGATAATCAGAATAAGAAATTTCTAATGTGAGAAAGAACTTGTATGGATAAAAACTTGTGTAAATGAAATTATCAAGCAATCTATTTTGAACATATTTTTACAGCTCAACATATGCAACTTAAACCTCCCACTAAAAACCTAATAAAATGACCTAATGCTAGAGTTTACATTTGAAATGGTTTAACGTGTTTCTGCATTTACCATAATATGACAAACAAAAATTATATACTATAACTATAGATACAAGGAGGTAAATTATTATTATACCAAGGTAATCAGGGATGAATGTGAATAAATAAAGTTATTTATTTAGGAATTGGTTGATGTTATCTTGGCACTATACCTTAAATGCTTTAAATAATTAGCTGTACTATTACTCAGGTTTCAGATGAACAATGAGTGATATGGTCATTTTTCTCTTTAGTGGAAGAAAAACAAAGAAGATTCATGATCTCAGTTGAAAACTGTTCCAACTGGAGATCATTAATATCTTGGACAAGATTGAAGAATCTTTCCCGACAACATTTTGATGTTTTGTACATTACTATTAAGCAGGTCATGAACTATAAAATTTTACAGGAAATGGCTATTCTTCAGGATGTTGCAGACTCTAAGGAGTTCCTAAGTGGCTTGGAAAAGTGAATGTTCTTATGTATCTAAAATTAGTGGGTAGTAATAGTGTCTCTGCAATGAAAATAAGGTTATTATTAAAATTTTAGGATGATATACTTGAAAAAAATTGGATTTCTGAAATAAATATAAGATTTCCTCCAATATTCTCATTTGAAGTTCTTAGGTTAGGCTATTTCCTAGTTTAATTTTTCTACAGCATCTTATCAATTCAGGTTGTTTGACTTTTGTATGTGAATTAATCAGACAAATGATGGGAATAAGATTATGAACATTTATTCAGACACTGATTTTCTTCAATTTAAAAATTTTCACCATAAAATATTACATAAAACATTAGTGTAAGGAATTGATCATTGCAAAATACCAGGCAATAAAAAAAGTCCAATTTTGAATGCAAGTAAATTTTACATTATCAAAAATACTTGGAGGAATCTTCAAATCATATTCAGGGAGAGGAAAAACAATGAGTTAATTGAAAGATGGCAATAACTAAGTTAAAGAATATTCTTTGTAAGAGAGTAAGGGAAGGCTGAAATTTTGAGCAAGAATCTTGGTATCACTCTGGGGTATAAAGGAGAGAACAGAGGGAGAGGGACTTCTACACTGCAATCAACTAAATAATCCTGTGAGCAAGAAGATTCTCTCATTTATACCA